AAGAGAAACCCTTGAGCTCCAACAAGTCCCGATGGCAGAAAAAGGTGGGAAATTATTTCCCCCCCACCCTTTTTCCTTTGAAATCTGGGCACAAATTAAAAAAAAACCATGAAATTTTGCTTAAACCTTACAAAAAAAGCTTATTTTTTTGGGACGCTGTCCTCCTGCGAGGAGTTGGACACGATGATCCTTACGGGTCCCTTCCAGCTTGAGATCTTCCATGATGGAAGAAGGTTGGAAGAGGCTTCCTGGTGCTGGTCCATCCTTGGAGCTGCTCAAGGATGTGGAGCTACTCAAGGATGTGGAGATACTCAAGGACATGGACACGGGTCTAGAAGACCTTGCTTGACCTAGATGGTTGGAGTAGTCATCTCCAGGTCTTGGCTCCAAACCTCCCATCCATTGGGGACGTGCCAGGGCTTGGTGGGACGTCCCGCATCTCTCCTTGCAGGTGATGGGACCATGGATGGTGAGGAGGATGGAGGTGGTGAGAGGCTGGAGACGCTCCAAAGAGGACCTGGGATGGGACAACGTGGGGCTGGGGAATGGGTGGAGAAGGGGATGAGGGGTGGTGGGATGGGGGACTGCGTGCAGACGGGGGTTCCCATCACAGGAGGTGCCGACGTCTGCGGGGAGGGTGGGAGAAGTTTTCCCTGTGGATCATCCCTGGCCACCCACCGGCATGTCCACACTATCAAGAAGCCCTACAAGTGTTCCGAGTGTGGGAAGAGCTTCGGGCGCAGTTCCCACCTCATCTCCCACCAATGTACCCACACCCACGAGCGACCCTACAGTGTCCTGACTGCGGGAAGAGCTTCTACCAGAGGTTCAACCTCCTCATCCACCAGCGGGTCCACACTGGAGAGAGACCTTATGGGTGTCCTGAGTGTGGGAAGAGCTTCAGCTATAGGTCCGTCCTCCTGATCCACCAGAAGACCCACACCGGGGACGAGCCCTACGCCTGCACCGACTGTGATAACTTCAGCCAGAGCTTGGACCTGACCAAACACCACCGGATTCACACCGGGGAGAGACCCTACGGTTGCGCCGAGTGCGGGAAGACCTACAGCCTCCATTCCCACCTCCTCTCCCATCAGAAGACCCACAAGGGTGAGAAGCCCTACGCTTGCCCCGAGTGCAGGAAGAGCTTCAACGATAGCTCCAACCTCATCACCCACCAGCGGTATCCACACCGGAGAGAAGTCCTACAGATGCCTCCAGTGCAGGAAGGATTTTGGACGCCTCTTGCATCTCCACCGGCACCAAAGGACCCACGCGGGGGAGAAGCCCTTCACCTGCTTGAGCTGTGGGAAGAGCTTTGGTGAGAGCTCATCCCTCATCCGTCACCAACGGGTCCATCCATGAGCCTGTTTGGGGGTGGGAAAAGGAACTCCAGCTTTCCCACCAAGGATGGGGGAAAGCAAGTGACACCTTTCCCGGCTTGATGGTGGTGGGTGTCAGGCAGCAGGACCCCACAGATCACCCCAAAATTGGGCAGGGAGAAGGAGCTCAGTGGGGTTTTTTGGCTGGTGCTCAACCCCAAGACGTGGGGGTCACATCTGATTTATTCCTTATGGTGTTCCACCAAAAAACCTGGAGATCCTCCAGGATGGGTTGGAGAAATAAAGTCTCGCTGGGTTTTCCAGGTTCTCTAAGCCTTTGGAGCCACTAAGTTCTCAAAGTCCTGGGTGATGGCCATCAAGGTGAGGTGTCCCCAAGTCCTGGGTGGTGGTGGCAGGCACGTGGGGTGAGATCACCCAGTTTTGGAGCTGTCGGGAAGACCTGGCTGCAGACCCCGGGGGTGCAAGGGGCCACCCCACGTGCATGAAGGAATGGCACGACGTGTGCTAGAGCTTTACATCTTCTGGGACGGGGGACTGTTCTTCCCTCGGTGAGAGGGTCTCCGCAGCCTTCATGGGAGGATGCATCTCAGCTGTACGGGGTGGCTCATGTGTTGTGAAGACTGGTGGTCTCTATCTATGAGATCAGTTGGGTCACAGAAGGTCCCGAGGGGGGGAATCTCAGCACAGCTCCTTGTTGGGAGGGTTTGCTGGAGCCAAAAAACCTTGACGGAGCCAAAAAACCTTGACGGAGCCAAAAAACCTTGACGGAGCCAAAAAACCTTGACGGAGCCAAAAACCTTGACGGAGCCAAAACCTTGACGGAGTCAAACTCTTCTCCATGGTGCTGGAGGAGGCGGGGAGGGAGGAGATGCTTCAGGAGCAGCGTGGATGTCCCGTTCAGATGGTTGGTTGGAGAGTTCATCTCTTGGACATTCTAGAGCTGTAAGGACCAAAGGGACCAGCTCCTCTCGGTGTCACGTGGAGAGAAACCCAAAGCAGGAGCAACGTCTGCAGCTGCTCCCGGGTAAGACTTTCCCCCCTCCCGGCACGGCTTTACCTCGCCGGTTATTTTAGGCGTTCGGCGGAGTGGTTGGGTTTGCCCTTCAGGGAGCAAACCACGTGAAACCTTTGGGTTCGGGAGGACGGTGCGGGCAAATCTTCGGCATGCCAGAAATGCCTCCGCGGCTCTCGCTCCCGCAGAGGACGCAGGACACGGCCACTTTATCATTTTACCATTCGCTACGGCCGTTTTCTTGCCATAAGCTTGTCCGCTTCATGTCAGATTTTTCAGATCTTTTTTTGTCTTAACGAGAAAAAGAATTCTTTTTTTTTCCCGTATATTGGCCATTCAAAGAAGAATCACCTCCTTTTGCTCACCGAAGACCTGCTTTCATGCTCTGCTGTGGAGGAAGCATCTTGTGGTTTGATGTTGCTCCCCCATACCCCTCTTCATCCTCTTTTTTTTCCAGATTCAGTCTTCAGATTTATTCGATTCTGTTCCATTTTTATAGTCATCTTTTTAAAGTCACCCCGTAGCACGCCCACCGCAATTACCTTGTAACTGTATTTCCAGCATTAAAAAAAAAAAAATCCTACATCTTCTTTTTATGCATTTATTAAGACACTTACTCATTAAAACCTTTCCAAATAAAAGTAGGAATATATACATATTGTACGCAGACCCC